CCTAGAACCCTAAACCTTAAACCCTCTTCCAGAAAAGAGCAGTTTCCTTCAAAAGCAGTAGAGTAGAGGGTCTTCTGTATCAGCGAGAGGAAGAAGACGGACTTCCATCATGACGTTTCGAGACGTATGGGGAGAAGGGCGGATTTAGGCGTTGGGGTCGAGCCGTGGGAGTCTGCAGGAGATACGCGTCATCCTGGATGGACACGAGACATTCGAGTTCCTGTCGCGGCGTTGGAAGCTGTCAGTTTAGAGTTAAGGCCTTAACTATAGATAAACTTTGACAAAACGCGCTTTTGCCCGCTGGCGCTTAAAAGAGCTGTACCCAGAGGGTGCATATACACCATTATGGAATTAGGTCCCAAAAGACCATCCCTAATATGGTTTTGGGGACTTAATTCCATAATGGTAGTTTTTATGGACCCTAAACCCTAAACCCTAATTCCATAATGGTAGTATATATGGACCCTCTGGGGTGGAGGTTCGAAGCCGGTGCGCTTGTTGCTGACGTGGAGTTCACGAACGACACGTTGCGGCTGGCGGGCAGAGAGGCCTCCTGCGCCGGCTAAAGTGGCTCGTGCTAGGGTTTAGGGTTTATGGTTTACGGTTTAGGGTTTAGGGTTTAGGGTTGCTGGTTGAGTTCGGGAATCTATCCCAAAAGAGCTAGTCTCACTGAGTACCCACAGCCAAAGACCAAAGGAGTACAACGGATCCGTGCTATTGTATACCGACATTCTCAACGGGAAGCGAGACGGACTTCTGGCACACTCGGCTGTGCCTGTGATCGGCGGCAGGTTCTCCGACAATGCTTCTGGTCTTGATTGCATAGCTTCATCGTCTTCATCATTCATGCCCTAAGCTCTTAAACCCTGAGCCCTGCACGCCATGAAACGTAGCAATGCTGCCCTTTTCAGGCTTTTCGTGGGATTTACTTCGACTCCGTCTCCGCGCCGATTCTCGTGCAGGGCACAAGCGTATCTGGGAGCTGGTCGTATGACGCGATAGAAGTCAGGCCTGTGAGCTTTCAGGGTTTTAGGGTGTTGGGGTTTAGGAGTTTAGCGGTCTAGGGGTTTAGGGTTTAGGGGTTTAGGGTTTAGGGTTGGGGAGCAGGGTCTAGTTCACGTCCTGTATGTTTTTGGCCCGTGATCGAGAGGAACGCCGGATCCCATGTGCACCTCGTCAACAACTCCCTCACCGGACAAGGGCGGCGCTATTTGGTCGAAGCTCTGCCATCATTGGAAAGCTTTTGCTTCTCAACGTGACTGAATCTCCATCCGGATTTCCAGAGTGTGTTGCGGAACGTGCGAAAAAAAACATGTATAGCTTAGATGCTGGTTTCGTATCTGAGCAGTGAGCCCTACTTAAAGGATCATGGGACTTAGTAAGTAGGGTTATAATTAGGGTAACTATACTTATAACCCCATATAACCTTACTTACTACGTCCCATGATCCTCCAAGCCCTAAACCCTAAAACCCTGAACCCTAAACCCTAAACCTTCCTTACTACGTCCCATGATCCTCCAAGTATACGCTCTCAAGCCAAGAACGTGCGGCCGCTTTCGAACGAGCCTGCGATCTCCTGGAAGGTTTGGGCCTCGGTGATCCAGGTTCAAGGTTTAAGGTTTAGGGTTCAGGGTTTAGGGTTTAGGGTTTAGGGTTGAATTGGGGCCTGGAATGTAGGGTTTTGTGATAATGTTGCGATGATGTTGATGTGAGGCTTTTCCTGGGGTTGTCCCTGACGTTGTCATGCTCAGTGAGGTCTTCGAGAGGTTGGCCCCGAGGCTTTCATGAAGTTTGCCATTAACTCTCAATTTGGTTTATACCTTCACCCACCAGAACCTACTTTTTTGTAGGGTCCCTATCCTACACAAAAGTGGGTTTTGGTAGGTTAAGGTATCCCTAAACCCTAAACCCTAAACCTTCTTTGAGTGCACGGGGCAGGTCTAGGCTGTCTTTGGCTTTTTCAGTCGAGCAAAACGGCGCTACGCGTGCTCCCGGGTGTCCGCGTTTTTCGGTAGATGCAATCCCTTGTTTTTTACAATAATTTGGGCCTTGCGTTGATGTCGAAGTTATATAACCCTCTGCGTGGACCCGGCGTGTCTTGCTCTCCGGTACACGCAATCCGTTTTAAGTTCCAATACCTCTAAATGACAACCCTCTCGGTTCAAGCTGTATGTCCAGGCGCTTTGCGTGTGGTGCCACATCGGGTTTGGCTTCGAAATTCTTGATCCCGCCAACTTGAGGGAAGCATTTTCGCCATGTCTATGAATCCCCACTACCTGCGGGAAGCATTTTGGCCGTGCTCTTGGGAAGCATTGTCGTCATGTCTTCGAATCACGGCAGTACATGGGGAAGCAGTAGGTCGCGGGCTTGCAGAAGGGTGCATGCCAGCTAGCTGGGAATGCTGGAACTGCCCCACGCGAGAGAAGCTTATAGTTGGGGTTTGTAGACGCGCAGAGGGGGGCAGGTTTCTAGAAGGGGTTCAGAATTTGGAAGAGCTTATGGAAGGGTTTATCGAAGGGTGAAGGGTTGATAGAGAAGTTCATAGAGCCGATAGAGAAGTTTATCAGAGGGTATGTACACGGGTTTACGGCAAGGTTTATGGGAGGTATTATGGACGTTTCATAGAAATGCGTGGATAGGTGGATGAAAGAATGGATCGAAGGATGCATGGAGGGATGTGTATGTAGGTGGATGGAGGACTTAATGGATGCAAGGATGGAAACATGAATGTATGGGTGGGAGGGATGAATGAGTTGAATGGATGCAAGGATGCAAGGATGGAAGAATGAATGGATGGATGGGTGGGTGGGTGTGTTAGATGGATGAGTGCATGCATGGATGGACGGATGGACGGACTCGAGCTTCTTGCTGGCAGTGCTGTCCCACATTACAGGTGGAGAGCAATTCCTTCAAAGATGGTGGCTTGTACGTGTATGGCTTCAATGCGCGTGGGCCAGGGCAGATCTTCAGCATCGCTGGCGGCTTCGCTTCTCCAGAGTTCCGTTCCCGGAGCATTCCCAGGGTTTAGGGTGTAGGGTTTAGGGTTTAGGGCCTAGGGTTTAGGAACCTCAGAGTCCTTAGAGTTTGCTTGGGTGTAGCAGTATTTTTTTGCACTCGGAAATGCAGCAAGCTTGTCCCTGCTTGGGTGTTGAAGAAGCAAGGCAACATCTTCTTCGGCAGCAGGTACACCGATTTGGGGATCTTCCTAGATGACCTTGTACAGGATGCTACAAGCCTTTCAGAGCCAGGGTGGCGCATCGTAGGCAACCAGTTTTTTGCATCTGGGACTTCTTGGAGCATACTGAGTTTAACTGCTGTCGCGACTTCCTCGCCGACCTAGAGCTAAGTCTCAAGAACTATCAAAAAGATAATCCAAGATAGATAGGTTTGTTGGAGGGTTCCAAGAAGAGCAGAGGACTCACGCAGTCGGGGCATCTTCGTAGACGTCTCCTCATTGGTTGGTGCGAACACGCTGCTGCAGGGCAACGAGTTCAGGCGAGTGGTCTCCTCGGGTTGGCGAGCTTCACTCGTACGATTGTCCGCAGACCGACAGGACAAGGTGGAGTGGAGAGAGGGTCTAGAGTCTAGGGAAGGTTGAGGGTTGGGCTTGAAGGTGTATGTGGTCTAGAGTCAACCCCAGCAAGGTGGAGTGGAACTTGAAAGCAAATACCTTCGTCAACAGCACGGCTGATTATGCGGTGAACCTTGAGCGGCTCGCAGACGACGGGTTCCGTCTCGACAGCAACGTTTTCGCGTCCCCAGACATCCGCTACGATGTCGGCCTGCCTCTCTCAGATTCCAGTTCCTGGGGCCTTCTTGAGAAAATTTGAAAAACCCTGAACCCAGCTGCACATCCTTGTTTCAGGGTTCCAAGAACAGCGGAGGTTGTGAGGGTTTCCAAGAGGTGGTGAAGATTGACTTGACTGGGACCGGGTTGCAGAGGCAGCGTGTGCAAGATTTCTCCTTCGACTGTGCCAGAGCCTTGGCGATCTTGGACAACCAGCAGTTCGACGGGCTGGTCCAAGAAGTGAATGAGACGAAGCTTGGCTTTGGATATAGTTGGCTGGGAGGACTTCTTGGGGCCCTTGCGCCATGTTGTGACGTTGAAGTAGGTCAATGCGACCACCCAGGGTCAACCAAGGAGGGGGCGGCTGTCCGGCATCCTCGACTCCTTCCAGCTACTCCCTCCGGGCATAGTGTGGGACACGTACAACCTTCTCATCAGTCCGAATGCCACGCTCGTGATTCCTCCGGGCAGCGTCCTCCTCGTGCATGCCGGCAGCAACTCTCAAATCCGCGTTGAGGGCACCTTGCAGTGCCGCGGTCTCGAGGATTCGCGGATTCAGCTGCTGGGTTCGTCTTCAGCCACGACATGTTTGTTTTTTTGCTTTTGGTGGTGGTGGCGTTGCCGGGCCTAGGGGGATCTGTTCTTTGGAGGTTTGGGCGTGTCTAAGCCAGACGGAGCCTGCCACATCTCCCTCACTTGGAGGTTCATGGGTAGTTATAAGTAGGTTTATAAGTAGGGTAACTATACTTATAAACCATATTATGGGACTTATAACCCCACTTATAACTACCCATGAACCTCCAAGCGGAAACCGAGGATACTCTGCCGGGGATGCGAAGACCCTGCGGCGGCCATCCGCTCATTGGATCGATTCAGGTCCCTGCTCTTCACCAGCTCCGCGGTTTCTGGGCGCTTCGACCGGAACACGTCGCTCGGTCCTCCACAACACGGGAAGCAACTCCCCATCAAAAAGGGTCTTGAGAAGACTTCGAAGGAAGCCGACCCGGTTTGAGAACCAGATCTGGTGACTGTCTCTGCGATCGCATGCGGGACATCTTAGCCCTAAGCCTTATTAAATTCAACCCCAAACATGTGATGCAGGTTGGAGTTCGATTCTCAGCTCGGTGGAAGCGTCCTGGAGTACGTCGACATCGCGGGTGCAAGCCAGGCGGTAGCCGGGACGTCCAATGAAGAAGGTCTCAGATGATCTGTGCTTCGTATGATGCGAACCGCAAGGGGGTCTCTTAAAGAGCAAGTTTGGAGGTTCCCATCTTCCCAGTTTTGGTATATCGTGCCCATTCTAGAGATCCCAGGTAGAGATGAATGGCCGAAGCCCAGTGCTCCGCTACGTCCACATCAGAGACGGTCTCGATGGATTCGACTTCAACCGGGTGCAAGACCCCGTCCTGATGCAGGGCTGTGAACTCAACGGCACTTCAAGGTCGTCGAATACAGGAATCAGCCCCTCCACTGCTTTTCAGAGTAGCAGCTAATTATGGTTTAGGGTTTGGGGTGTAGGGTGTAGGGTGTAGGGTTTAGGGTTTAGGGTTCAGCTAATTTCAGCAAAAAAAGGAACCGTGTTCGTTTTTGCTTTTGGCACGACGCGGCCAACAGGGTTGGATGCCGACTCCAACGTGGCCTCTGGCTGGTCGGCGCTCCTGGTGAATTCCAAGATCCAAGACTTCCGAACCGGCCTGAGCTTGTTCTCCTCGGACCCGAGGCTCGTGAACAACCTTACCTTAACCTACCAAAACCCTCTGTTATCAACCCTAATATGGGATTTATGCCTAGAAAAGTGTCGGTTCTGGTGGGTTAAGGTATATTGAGCCCTTTAAAGGAACCCTTTCAATTTATGAAGGCCCTTAACCCGAGGCTCGAGAACAACCAATCCAGCATGGTGATTGACTCCACCACGTTCTTGCGGGGTCGAACGGCTGTGCGAATCTTGACTGGCTTTAACCCTAAACCCTAAACCCTAAATCCTAAACCTTAACTGTAGCTGCCTTAGCTGGTTCTGGGCTGGGGTCTCCTGTCGCACATGGGACCCAGGATTGAGCTACGCTCAACGAGGCATGAGTCTGACAGTGAAGGACAGCAACTTCTCCGACTATGTCGACGATGGAGTCTACCTCTACAGCAGGTATCTTTATTACAGGGTCCCCGGCGACGAGACCGTCACTCGCATCCAAGGAAGCAAGTTCATCGACGCAGGTCTCTACTTCGTGCAGGCCAACAGCTTCAACATACAGAGTCAACATCGAGTGGAGATCCTTGATAGCCACTTTGAGGCGGGAGAGGATCGAACGGCCCTGGACATTGTGGGCTCGCCCCACGGCGTGCCCAGCATGGGGCCAGAGAGCATGTACGTGTCTCGGAACACTTTCCGGACCAACCGGCCCACGTCCAAGGATGAGGATGTGATACGCATGCGTTCGGGATCCTTCTCGGGCCGACGGCGTAATTCCTTTGGCTATACCTATGGGCACGTGACGTTCGAGAACAACAAGATCGAGGGCTGCGAGGCCTCCCGAGCGCTGGATGTGATCTGCAATCCTGTGGGAACTGGAGTAGGGACCAGACTCGGCGCTACACTCAGGGGCAATGACTTCGCTCAAAACGAAGCGCTTGAGCCTGTGAACGGCGCTGTGGTGCGATTCTCGCAGTGCGCCTGGGATGTTCATGCGAAGAGTTGGGAGTTTCCGAAAATCCCTAATATAGTACCCTAAATAATAGGATCCTTATTACAAGGACCCCAAACTAAGGTGCCCTAATTTTCGGAAACCCCCGGTTGGTCCTCATCGATCCCTAACATACTTAAAGGATCATGGGACTTAGTAAGTAGGGTTATAATTAGGGTAACTATACTTATAACCCCAATTAAGGGACTTATAACCTTACTTACTAAGTCCCATGATCCTCAACCCTAAACTCAAGGCATAGGCCGCNNTGGGCGGCGCTTAAGCCCCTCGACCTCGATGGCGCAGGGCGACCCCACAGCCATGGGGACGGCGCCCACGTTCCATGGGCGTGCTGGCCGTTTTGGCCCCCCCAAAAAAAAGGGACCTTCAGGGCCCCCCAAGCAGATTTCACCCTGCCCTGCCCTCTGCCCTGCCCTGCCCCCTCCCTGCCCCCTGCCCCCTGCCCCCTGCCCCCTGCCCCCTGCCCCCTGCCGCCCTGCCCCCTGCCCCCTGCCCCTGCCCCCCTCCCCCCTGCCCCCTGCCCCCTGCCCC